TTTAAATTTTTTTTTTAAAGGAGAAAAACAAAAGTGAAAAATATGGCTAATATGCAAAGTGGATAATCAAGGGTTGATCTGCATCAGAAATAATTACTCTTAATTAAAGAACTAGTAGAAATGTAAAAGATAATAATAATCTAAAATATGAGTTGTTATGTGCCATGCACTGTTCTAAGTACTTTGTATTACTTCAAGTAATCTTCCCCAAACACTATGCAGTAAACTTTTACTATACAGACCAGGAAAGTGAGGTGCAGAGTGGTTAAAGCACCTTGACAAAGGGCACAGAACTCTAAGGCCCAGGACTCAAACAAATGTAGGCAGGCTCTAGGGCAAAAAAAAGAGAAGACACATTAAACAGGTTTTGAAGTTTATTAAAATAAAGTATTAGCAAACAATATGCAAAAACAAAGTTCTTAAGAGTTATGGCTTTGAAAAGCACAGTATAGTAAAACCTAATACATTTTATAAGTATCAAAAAGATAAAATTGAAGCATGTTGCCTAGATTTTCATTTTCTACAACATAAACAGAAGCAGAACAAGTACAAATAAGAAGCAGATCTACGGTGCAGTCATTGGCTTGGTCTTTCTCATCTGCATATGAAATATCTTTTTAAGAGAACGTGGCCAGGTAGATACAAACATTCAGTTTTCTTAATTACAATCCTCTCCAATTTTAAAGTAAGTGAATTTGAAACACAACTTTAACCAACCATGTTATAAAGAAAATCGCTTTCCCAATCATTACCTTCAAGAATCCCTGCATCTGAAATACTTTATGAACAAAACAAAGCAACATCACCTTCAATGATATTTAGAAGGGAAAATCTGACCCTAAAAGATTTTCTACAAAGAACTTGGGATTCTTTGGCCTTACTGGAGTTTTGATAAGGCTAACACTAGCTTGTATTAAGAAGGCACTAACTATTAATGGGGCGGTGGGGAGAGACCTACCTGTACACAAAAGTCTGGACTTCTTTTTTTAAAGAGCATGTACACAAATTCTGGACTTCTTTTTTTAAAGAGCACCTTCAAATACATCCTTAAAGGATAATGATTTGTGATGATTTAAAAAAAATTTAAGAATGAAGTTATTTGGACAAGAACCACACAAACCTTTTTTCACTCTGTCATGAATGACCGATGAATCCTGCTCTGGGACTGGCTCTTTTCAACGAAATAACTCTTCATCTGTCTTACAGCAACTGCTACTAGCAAATTACATCATGTGCTCTTACTTCAAAACAAAAACAAAATTTGATGTGTGACATCCCTTTTACTGGTTTTGGTAAACCACCCAATTTTAGGGTGTCATTTCAATTATAATACAGTGGTATTTTAAGACATAAGATAATCCAATATAACATAGACTTGATAAATACTGTTACCTCCTGTAATGAGGACATACTAAACTGCAATCCAGCGAATTCCAAAGAACTGTCCAAGTTTCTGTCCAGCAGGTAGAATTCTTTATTTATGCAGAAGAAATGTCTTGAATTCTCACTTTCAATACATGTATCTTTTGTGATAACAATAATTCCTGAGAATCTCACCTGTATCAATAAGGAAAATACTGCTGCTCCGGGGAAAACAGGCATCAAACCTGAGACTACCTCAACCCCCGCCCCAAAAATTGCCTTTAATAGTATCTGAGACCACCTATAAATCACCACTTAGAAAAATTCCCTCCCATAAAAATCACCAAACACTTCTAACACCACCAGGATATCTACTACCTTAAAAGATACCTTCTGTGAGTGGTTTGTCTGAGCCCGTGGGTTCGAAACCCGCCTAGGCAGGCAAGACCTCATCTCTACAATAAATCAAAAAATCAGCCGGGCGTGGTAGCACGTGCCTGTAATTCCGACTACTCGGAAGGCTGAGGCGGAAGGATCACCGGAGCCCGGCAGGTCGAGGCTGCGGTGACCGAGAGCGGCCACTGCACTCCAATCTGGGCGACAGAGTGAGACCCCAACTCAAAAAAAAAAAAAGATACCTTCTGCTGGGCTTGGTGGCTCAGCCTGTAATCCCGTGCCTTTGGGAGGCTGAGGTGAGTGGATTGCCTGAGCCCGCGGGTTCGAGACCCACCTGGGCAACTTGGCGAGACCTTATCTCTACAATAAATCAAAAATCAGCCAGTCGTGGTAGCGCGTGCCTATAGTCCCAGCTACTTGGAAGGCTGAGGCAGAAGGACCACCGGAGCCCAGCAGGTCGAGGCTGCGGTGGCCAGGAGCGGCCACTGCACTCCAGTGTGGGTGACAGAGTGAGACTCCAACTCCAAAAAAAAAAAAAGACACCTTCTTTTCTAGCTGATGGGTATAACCATGACACATTTATATTCATACCCACGAGTTATTAAGTAAGGATTTAACTAATAAGACAAAGAAGTGTTCTGATCCTCTTAATAGGTCCAAAAAGTCAGTCATCACTGGAGGTTGAAATAAAAAATTATCAAACATTCTTTCTTCCTCAGAAAAAAGAAAGGATAGTAATACATTTTAAGTGGGAAAGGTGATAATGATCCAAAGTACTATTAAGCAAATGGGTAGAAAAAGTATAAAGAAACTGATCTAAACTGGTAGCTTAGATGCTCTCTACAACAGAAGTACAGCATTTTAATAGGTACTACCAAACTTTTCAGAATGTCTGTGCTGTTAGTAGGACTCATTTTTTGCATAAACTTTCAACAGAGCATTACAACAGGGAAAGGAACTGTTTCCCACGGTACCCTCAGGTAATACGGAAGGTTTTATTAACGTGAGCCCCAGTTTTTTATCTTAACAACAGCTCTCAGATATGAATACTTAATGATCAGTTCACACCCTAAAGGGATGTCTTACTCTCAAATGTTATGAAAAGTATAAAATAGCTACATCTTCTTTCTGTACTGTTAGGTGTGACTTGTTGAACTATCTAGTAACCTTACTCTGGATTTCACCTCAGAAACTCAGCCAGTTCTATTACCACAGTTTTCTTAAGTAGAAACAATAAAATGTGAAAAACGATTTATATTCTGACATATATTTGACATTTTTGATTGATGTCATCCTTGAATTTCCTTTAAAAAAAAAATGTTAGTTTAAGTAGGTCAATAGCATGGCTACTAGTTTACAATCCATAATGTTAGCCAAGCAATACCAACCAGACCACAATACTCTGTAATGCAAAGATGTTAAACAAATGCATCTCGTATCCTTTTTTCCAATCAACATCGTTTTGTTGTTTTAATTCATTACTGAGATTGATTCTGTTGATTTTTGCATTTACTAAATTGGTCGCAATTTTATTATTTCCAGATTTTGTCTGTTCAGCCAGCATAAGTTAATATGCTGTATAGACTAGAATATGTGATTATTCTAGTGGTGATGTTTTCATAAATTTGTCTATAAACCATTCTGTAGATTAAATAAAAACTTAAAACTGTAATTTTGTGAAAAGATTTCTTTCAGAGGTGCTTTCTTTTCACTGGTCAGAATTTTACTTAGCTTTCTTTTTTTTTAAAACCTTACTAGAAAATCATATTTCCTATACATAGACATATGAGCATCCTTAGGAATTATAAGAGCGGCTAGACTGAATAAACTTTTCATTTAAAGTCCAATAGTGTGGAGTTGACAACTTTTAGAAACTATAACAGGCTTAAACTTCTCCATGAAACTCTTAATGGTTAATAACCTTAGTACTGTAACTCATGCGAAAGAACTCTGAGAAAACAAAGAAAAGGCCAGTCACATAAAATCGTGCTAACTCTAAAGGCTGTGTTAATGACCCCAAATAAAAACAATTTTTAATAACTCTCAGTTGAAACCACCAATAAAACAATAGTTTCCATTCATTTACTATAGCCCAATGAAGTTAACTACATGTATCTGTCATTCACAGTGATTTTTTTCCTACAAATTTGTTCCAAAAACTGTGCCATGAACCTGGTAAGTAAAAGAATGATGGAAATACCCATGTTCTATCACTAAGCAAATAATTGTCTTTCATGTGGTTGACACAACTCTGGAAGATTCAGAATGTAGTATGTCATGTAACACTTATGTTTAAGGCTCAGGTGACTGTTAGAAAGTATTTCGTCCAGCAAAGACTGTGAGTAGAAACAAAATGGCACTTCATCTGAAAGAACTAAAACCATCCACTGACTGCACGCTGAAAAAGCAATAAATAATGACACAGAAAACAAAAGGAATCACATAATCCTTTCCTTAAAAAATGTACTTTTTCTCATAAAAGCAGAAAGGGCAAAGTGGAAAGTAAAAACAAACTAATATTTTAAACAGAAGATTACATGACTCCATATACTTTCAAAAGGCACCAGAAAATAGAGCTTCTGCTGATGGGTAAATTAGGCCTTTAAAAAAAATTTATTAGCGCATGCCTACAATTCCGGCTACTCGGAAGGCTGAGGCAGAAGGATCGCTGGAGCCCAGCAGGTCGAGGCTGTGGTGGCCGGAAGTGGCCACTGCACTCCAGTCTGGGCGACAGAGTGAGACTCCAACTCAAAAAAAAAAAAAAAAAAATTTCTTCATTCTCATGTCATAATCAAGTGTCCATTTGACTGCTCCCTAGAAAAACTGGCTAAGAATCCTTTACCCAAAGGCATGATTGAGTAAATGGATATTTGAGAGTTTTCATGTCTTCCTCTCTAAAGATTGTGTTCTGGGAGACTAGCATCCAGTTGGGTACTAAAAAAAAAAGGAAAAAGAACACTGATGATAAGTGAGAGAACAGTCTGTATTCTCTGATGAGAGAGTGTTTTAGAATCAGCTATGCCAACAACCACTGCTAATTCATTTAAGTATCAGACCGGTAGCCTCATCTTTGAGGCCCAACTGAAGCACCTCCTGTGGTCACAGTGCATAGGCCCTTGCATAAGGAGGCTAATATGAGTAAGGGCAATGGAATTAAGTATAGGATTTTCCAATATCAATAACATCCACAAAACTGCAGGGAATTAAAAAGGCACCTTAAGCTGGAACTACAGAATAAGAGTCTTATAACCACTATGTTGAGAATAAAACAAAAACTAGAGAAAGTATAACTTCCTACAACTGTAAACTATAAACTGCAGTGTCTGTTAATACAAAAGGGGTACAGGATACCAAGGAAGTAAGGATAAGCATTTAAGTCCAAGTCATTTGAGTGTATTTTACCAAAGGTTATGTTAAAAAATGTCACTCACAAAAGTGCAAAATAAAAGATTAATGCATGTCAAAATTAGAGCTCTTACAACATTGTCCAAAAGCAGCAAACATAGTTGAACAAGGCTGTGCATGCACTGTCACTAGCTATAAAGTAGTAATTATGACAGATTTTGAGTAAATGACATATAGTTGAGATCAGTTATTTGCAGTATTTTTTTAAAAAAGGAAATGTTTTACAAAAGATATATAGCATAAAGTCACATTACACCGACAAATATTTATCTGTATTAAATGTAAATTTTATGATGCCATCTAGAAAACTATCACTTTGATTTTACTGAACACTACTTGTTAGAGCAGTGCATAGTGTTCCTTCAAATAAAATTTTTGTATAGTTTCTTTTAAGCCTCTACCACAAACTTTTGCAAAGCAATGAATTATACTTTTTTAAAGTTGGTAGAACAAAGAAACTGGCAAAAGTATAGTTTCCAGAAGATCAAGAGTAGGAGGGAAGATTTACTTTTCATTATATACCCTTTTATACACTAATGTAATTTTTCATGATTTGATACATTACTTTTTTTAAAAAAAATTAATAGAAAATTTTAGGACAATAAAGTAAAAGCATGTTCCAGTTTAAGATCAATGCCAAACTTCTGAACTGGGGCATAATACTTACTCTGCATCTCTCACAACATCTTTGAGAGCTAATCACATGAACATGAATACAAACAAATGTAGATTCATCACAAAATACAAATGTGTTGGTCACAATTATGTAGAAAAAAATAAGCTGTAATATCTGTTTTCCACGTAAGCTCACAGTATCTGTACTCAAAGTTTCTCTAAAATTAAAACAAGTCCACTAATAATATAATTGAAAAGAATCCTTCTGCACTATGAAACAGAAGATATGGGGTTCAGCGGGGAGCCCATCTGAGTAAGGACTTTATCCAGCCATTGAAGAGGCCCATGAAGATGAATCTCAATCCAACATGGGGTACTGGTAACATCCTGCCGGTGATATTCTGCTCCCCAACCCTATGAAAATTAACAGATATCATAGCAAATCCCTTTTTAAACAATCAACAGTCTAAACCAATTTTACCATAACAACAAGATGCTTTGACAGTAGAAGATATGCAGAATGTACGCAAAGAGAATAACCATTACAAAACCAATCTTAGCATTTATCATGAAATTAAAAGAAAACAGTTGCATTATTCAGAGACAGATGAATTGTTTTTTTAACAGATATAATCCCTCTAACAGAAGTCTTTGGGGCCAGCAATATTTCAGAATTTATTTTAGAAAGGTAATAATGTATAATATCTCATAATTAAAACACAAATACTTCTGCAGTGAGACATATTCTCACTTTAAGGAATAAATAAAACCTATAAATAGGTTGTTTTTTAAAAATATCAGCTAAAGTACTGTAGATGTTGGTCAATGCAGACGTGTAATTTAATGTGGCAATCACAAAGCTATTATCCTTTAACCTGAAAAATTATTAGGAGGAATTGAGCTGAAGCTTTTTCAGATAAAAATTATCTGAAAATTATGGATGTATCAAGTTTTGTTTTACTGCTTATGGTAGTACTGGCCTAGGAAAACTGAGGGGCGTAGAGGGGAAAGGAGTGGAGAAAATGGGGGAGTGGAAATTAAAATAAACATGCAAAGGTCAAATTTCTATAGTCACAGAGAGGGAGGGGAAAACACCTTCAGAATGACCAATGCACAAAAAAGATGTACAGCAAAGAAACACTGGACTGGGACTGAATACCAAAAAGAAAAACCCATGCACAGTACTTAACGGTTACTCTTGTTAGGCTCAATTCTTAAGGACCATGGGGATAAATATATGACTAAAATTATTTCCAAATTTTGTTCACAAGTCACAGTCTTTGGAATGTCAAAATCAAGCCAAGAGAATAAATGATAAACTTGACAAGTTACCAGAATATTGCGCATTTTTAATACTAGGTTAGATTTAAGTAGAATAATTTTAGTACTCTAAAGAATTAAGTCACCTGATAGACTCTAATAATAATAATCAAAATTGTTGAAGTTAAGGAGTTTAAGAAGCAATTTTAATATTAAATGCTTTCTAGTGATTTAGTCCTTACCTGAAACTCTTCATAAACTCAACCCCTATTCAATATCAAAATCAGTATCAATCATGCATTTTATAATGTATAGATTACAAAATGAAATCTTAGGCCTATCATGTGGCTAAAATTATAAACTCAAGAATTTAATTTTTTAAAACCTATTAAATAAGATCAAAGTAACTTTTTTGTTTTGTCTTTTTGATGTCCTTTTTTTTTTTGAGGCAGAGTCTCACTCTGTCGGCCAGGATGGAGTGCATCAGCACAAATATGACTTACTGCAGCCTCGACTTCCTGGGCTCAGGTGATCCTTCCGTCTTAGTCTCCTAAGTAGCTGGGACTACAGGCATGCACCATCACACCTGGCTATTTTTTTTTTTTAACTTTTTGTAGAGACAGAGTCTCACTACATTGCCCAGGTTGGTCTCAAAATTCTGGGCTCAAGCAATCCTACTTCAGCTTCCTGAAGTATTGGGATTACAGGCATGAGCCACTGTGCTTGGCCAGATCAAAGTAATCGTCAACTTTATTATCTTTCATTTAGCTTTTATTATAGCCTAGAGACATAATATATGTCTTTAGAGTAACTCAAATTACTTTACAGGTTATAACCCACTCACCTTGACAAAACTCATTCGAATGGTGCACATTTTAGTGAGCTCATATACTGCCTCAAACCCATGGTTGACAGACTGAGCCAGAAGCTGAGCAAACTCCTGATTGTTAAAAATTTTGAGGCTGCAGCTGCTGGGAATCTTACAGACAGTGGTGGGATGAAAGCCATGATGAAAGTTGCAGTTCCTACTCTGTACAAATATGCTGCTGTCACTGAGGCATTCTGCATACACCTCCCCACCAACATAATACAGATGAACACCTTAAAAAGACAGATATCACAAGTCAGCTTCATGAAGCAATATAATGAAACTAAAGAGGCTGTATGGTGCAATCAAAATCCCCTAATTCATAGCAAAATCCCAACAGTCTTTAGACAAAACTACCACTAGATGGCCTGCTGCTGCCAAAGATAATCAAGAGGTTAATGTCTGCCTACATCTAAAATGGTCCTCAAATAACTAATAGGTAAATCTCAAATTGGCAGCATATTGGATTATCCATTCCTAGGGGTTCCCCCCGCCTTTTACAACAATCATTTATCATCTCTATGAGAGAAAGAGGTGGCTAGAAAACCTAAAAATCTCCTTTAATGAGTCCTTCCAAATGAATGGTCAGTGCTATCAACTACCACAAACAGTCATTTGACAGAGCTGTGCACTCTATTTGTGCTAATTAAGAGGACAGAAACATTAAAAAAAACCAAACAACCAAAGTTACATAGGTAATTTCAGGTCACGAGATTTTTTTTTTTTTTTTTTTTTTTGAGCTGGAGTCTCACTCTGTCACCCAGGCTAGAGTGCACTGGCACACTCACAGCTACCGCAGCTTTGACCTGCTGTGCTCAGGCGATCCTTTTGCCTCAGCCTTCCAAGTAGCTGAAACTACAGGTGCACACCACCATGCCCAGTTAATTTTTTTATTTACTGTAGAGACGAGGTCTCACCAAGTTGCCCAGGTTGGTCTCGAACCCCTGAGTGAGCTCAGGCAATCCTCTCGCCTCGGCCTCCCAAAGTGCTGGGATTACAGGCTTGAGCCCGGCCTAAGAAGAGATTTTAAATGGCAGATATATTTTGCTTTCCTTAAGAATTTGTGTTGATATTTTAAAAATATATAAATAATATGTAAAACAGTTTTGATACTAAAAATTCAAATTCTATAACTAAAGCTAGAGTCACCTACTATTTTCCAAACATACCCCTTCACCACCTCAAAGTGGTTTTTCTTCCCCAGAGATAGAAATTGCTATCAGTTGGGTGGATATCCTTTTAAATTTTTTAACATGCATTTAATTGCATATATATTTTTCTGTTATGTTTCTGTGTGGTTTTGTGTGCATATATCTGTGTGTCTGTTTTCTTTTCCTTAACATAAATGGTATCATACTCTATTAATCAGAAACATGCTCTTTTGACTTAATAGATCTTGAAGATTGTACTATGCGCCAAAATATAAACCTGCCACTATATATACTTTCTAAATGCATATAATTCTAGAATAAATTTTCATAATTTATTTAATTATCCGCCAATGGGCAACTGTGCACTACTTTTCACTACTACAAACAGTGCTCCCTAGCTGCATTCCTCTGCACACATGAGTCACAGACTTGTATCAGGCTGTGATATTAAAAAATGTGTTTTGTTTCTGAAAAATAAAAATAACTCATAAAAGCAAGGATCCTAGAACTGTGTAATGAGAAAAAGGAAAAACTGATTCTAGAACTTCAAACTTCACCAAATAGGTGTCCACTAAATTATTTCTACTGTAATGGGGAAAAAAATCAACACATAGAAGTGAGGTACCTCACCTAAAAAATAACAGCAAGTTGGCAGTAAAATCAAAAGATAATAAAAATTTTGATTTCAACTTATTTTTGGTCACAGTATTTTACTGGATCTCTTCTATGAGAAAGCCCATCACAATTGCATTTATTTACCTTTTGTTCCTATCTTGGACAAAGACTCTCTCAAGTCAAAGAACCAAAAAGCAGCAAGGGGTTAAAAATAATAATAATAAAACTTCTCAACAAACAGGCAATACACTCTACCTGGGATGGGTTTCCTTCCTGATCACTTGATACCTGAGACTTTGACATATCAATGCAGTGTGAAAACTGCCTTGTCTATTGTGGAAATTATGTTGCAGGATGAATTATTAAAATAAAACCCTTGTTACCTGAATTTAAGAGATACAAGGGGTGGTGGTGAAGTCACTGAAGGCTTATGTCATTCACACTAGGTATCCCACTTCTAACTGCTCCTCTAACACCATGGTAATTCTTACAAGTCGTCTCATCCCAAAACACCACAAAGACCATAATTATAAAATTCTAATTCTTCACCAGCTTTCATACACAATATCCCTCAAATATATGCTGTGCATTTATGATGCACCAGGCACTGTTTTAGCTACTGAGGATATTGCTGTGAACAAGACAAGTTCTGGTATAACTTTGTTCCAGTCAGAGTAACATTCAAAAGACAGCGGTATGATTTCGAATCCTTAGCACTGGGAAGAGAGACTAAGTAGGATAAGGAAACAGGGATTGATTATGTCATTACCTGATTAATACATTCTTCAATATCTTCAACTTAAGACAGAAGCCATGTCTTAAGCTTCTCTGTATGCTTGTAGCACCCTTCACAATGCACAGTGCACAACAAGTACAACAAATGACTGAATTAAATTAAATGTAAGGAAATTACAAGATTACCTTTACCAATATGTCGCCTAGTGTTTTCAATTGTTGAATTACGATTAACATTTGACAACAACCCCAAGCAGAATCTACTTTTGTTATTTGAAGGATCTGTGAATCCATCTACTAACACACTTGTAGAAGATGCATGAAAAGCTTCCCCAACACGATTATTTAACTCATAGTAGACAATTGAACACCAATGTTTGGGCTCTTCATAGGCAACAGGCTGAACATCTGTGAACAAAACAAACAGAAAAACGTTTAATAAATGACTATCAGAAACTCCAGATTCTTAAGTGTTTATCATTTAACCCAAGTTCTACATGAAAAAGAAATTTTTAGATATTTCACTCAAGTCTCACTGTCCTTTCTAGCTTTGAGTGTATATCCAAAAAACAGACACTAGAAATAGGTTTGAATATGACAGCTTTTAAAATTATAGAAATACAAGGACAGACATCTGTCTTAGCTTGCTTGAACTAATTGTAACAAAATACCACAGACTGAGTGGCTTACAACAGAAATTTATTTCTCACTGTTCTGGAAGCTAAGGAGTCCATAATGAAGGTGCCAAAAGATTGGTAACTAGTGAGGCCCTGCTTTTTGGCTTACAGACAGTTCACTGTGTGCTCACATGGCCTTTCTTCAGTGCTCTTAGAGAAAGATAATCTCTCCTCTTCTGACAAGGGCACAATCTCATTATGACAAGCCCACTCTCATGACTTCATTTAAAATTATTTCCCAAAGGCCCTATCTTCAAAACCATCACATGGGGAGATAGGACTTCAACATATACATTTTGAAGGGATGCAATTTGGTCCATTAGCATTACACCCGACATTTCCAAATACATGTCCTTCTCACATGCAAAATACATACATTCCATCCCAACAGCCCCCAAAATCTTAACTATTCCAGCATCAACTTGAAAGTCTTAAGTCCAATGTCATCCAAATATCATCTAATTCAGATATAGGTGCAACCTGAGGCAAAATCCCTCTCCAGGTGTAAATCTGTAAAACTACATGAGTTATGTCTTTATAAATACACTTCAAAAACACAATGATGGGATACGCACACAACAGACATTTCCATTCCAAAAGGAAGAAATAGAAAAGAAGGGATGACAGGTCAAGTAAGTCCAAAATCTAGCACAGCGAATTCCATTAGACCTTAAGCAGAAGAATAATCCTATTCGATTTTATATTTTATCCTCTGGACCCACTGGATGTCAATGCCAGCCCCGTGGCTCAGAGGAATGTGGTTCACTCTGTGGCCCTCTGTAGCATGAGGGAGTGCCCATGCCTAGTCATGCTCTCATGGTTCCAGGCAGTTCTGATTCATGGCTTCTTAGAAGCCATTTAGCCTGCTGAAACCAAAGCAGTGGTCCTGATGATCTGTGAATTGCCTTTAGGGCCATGCTTCTCCTTTCGTGAAGAACAGTGCAAGTTTACAGACAAATAGCCTTACTGTCCTGTCCTATAGAACCTAAGAAGTCTGACAGCCTCCATGTGGAAGTCCTATAGCCTTCTTTCATTCCAACCCATCTCTGTCCTCTTCAGTCCAAATCTGCAGTGTTCCTCACACTAATCTCATTATCAAATGTCTGATCAACAAAACTCTTTTATTTTTTTTTCTTTGCAAGGAGGAGCACAAGGGGCATTGCCCAGCCTGACCCTCTCCCGCCCCCGGTGGGTAAGAGGGCCGGGGCCCTGATGGCCGCCCCTGATGTCCACCCCTGATGTCCACAGCCACTCCTGGGGCGGCAGCCACAGGGCCATCCTCCAGTGTCCACCACCTGGGATGCTCCCGCCCCTCCCCAAACCCTGTCCCAGCCTGGGAGAGAGCCCCGGAACAAAACTCTTAGCATTCTTTTCTGAACATACTTTCTCATCTTCTGCAGTATAGATGAGCATTTTTCAAATCTTTAAGTTCTGGCTCCTTTTTGCTTAACAATTCCCTCTTCAATTCATTTTTCTCCATTTTACTATGAGTAGTCAGGAGAAACCAGTCAGCTTCTTCAAATACTTTGCTTTGAAATCTCATGAGATAAAAACCCAATCTCTTTGCTCAAAAGTTCTACCTTCCACAAAATACCAGGACACAAACACAATGAAGTCAAATTCTTTGCCACTTTATAACAAAGATAGCTTTTTCTCTGATGTTCAGTAACATGTTCCTCATTTCTGTCTGAGACCTCATCAGAATCACCCTAATGTTCATATTTCTACTCATACTTTGTACATGATTATTCTCTAAGAAAACAGAAGCTTCACTATAGTTCTTTTCTTTCTAAATATTCACCAGAATTACCTCTATCAGTCCCTTTACAGCAATGCTGACTTATACCTCAAAACTTTTCCGGCCTCTATTCATTACCTACTTCCAAAGCCTCTTCCACATTTAGTCATTAATTACAACAGCACCCAACTTTTGGTATCAATTTCTGTCTTAGTTGGCCATGGTCGCTATAACAAAATACCAAAGACTGAGTGATATAAAATACAGACATTTATTTCTCACAGTTCTGAAGGCTGGGAAGTCCAAGATCAAGGTACCAGCAGATTTGGTATCTGATAAGGGCCCACATCCTGGCTTGTAGATAACCACCTTCTGCATACTCACATGGTTTCTCCTGGTGTGTGCTCAATGACACAGAAAGAGATAGAGAGAAAAAGAAATCTCTCTTCCTCCTCTTACAAGGGCACATACCTCATTATGAGGATCCCACCCTCATGACCACATTAAAACCTAATCACCTCTCAAAGGCTCTCTAAATACCATCACATTGAAGTTTAGGACTTCAATATATGAATTTTGGAAGGACACAATTCAGAACACAGCAGGAGTATCACATTTTCAAAAGTTTTTCTAGTGCCTAATTCAGGTTTAAATCTGAAAATAAAACTTTTTCAGCAACTTGAAAATTGGGCTTCAACAATATCTGTAAACAAAATATATCAGTATCATAAACAAAAAGTTTAACTAAAAAACCAAGTGAGACTCAGCAATTAGAAATAGAAGGGAACTTCCTCAACCTGATACAGAACATCTACAGAAAAGCTACAGCTAACATCCTATTTAATGGTGAGAAACTAGAAGGTTTCCTGCAAAGATCAGAAACAAGGCAGATGTCTCCTCTCACACTCCTTTTCAACATCACACTATAAATCCTTGCTAATGTTATAAGGAAATAAAAGGTAGAGAGATTGAAAAGGAAGAAATAAAATTGTGTTTGCTCACAAATGACATGATTGCCTATAAAAACAATATGAAAGTAATGACCAAAACCCTCCTGAAACTAGTGAGCCATCATAGTGAAGCTGTAGCACAAGGTTAATATACAAAGTCCATCACTCTCCTACATACCAACAATGAATGAATGGAATTTAAAATTTAAAAATCTTTACCCTTTACATTAGCATCTCAAAAAACGTATTACTTAGGTTAAATCTGACAAAATAGGAACATGATCTATATGAGAAAAACTACAAAACTCTGATGAAAAAATCAAAGAACTAAATAAATGGAGAGATATTCACATTCAAGGATAAGAAGACTCAATATTAGCAAGATGGCGGTGTTTCCCAGCTTACTCTCTAGACTCAATATAATGCCAATCAAAATCGCAGCAAGCTATCTTGTAAACATCAACAATATGATTCTGAGTTTTATATGGACAGGCAAAACACCCAGAACAGCCAACAAAATATTGAAGGAGGAGATCAAAGTTGGAGGACTGACTTTAAGACTTATTATAAGGCTGGGCACAGTGGCTCATACCTGTAATCTCAGCACTTTTGGAGACTGAGGAGGGAAGATTGCTTGATCCCAGGAATTCAAGACCAGTCTAGGCAACATAGGGAGACCTCTTCTCTACAAAAAGTAAAAAAATTAGCCATATGTGGTGGCATGCACCTATATTTCCAGCTACTCGAGAGGCTGAGATGGAAAGGTTGTCAGCCCAGGGAGTTAAGGCTGCGGGTGAGCTGTGAATGGGTCACTACACTCCAGCCTGGGAGACAAAGTAAAATCCCAACACACACACACACAAATTTACAAAGATACTACAAAGATACTGTAATCAGAGTGTGGTACTGGTAAAAGAAGACACAAATAGATCAAAGGAACAGAAGAGAGAGTCTAGAAATAGACCCACATAATATAGTCAACTGATCTTTGGCAAAGGAATAAAGGGCAAAACAATGGAGAAAAAATATACACTTTTTCCGATAAGGATATAGCTGGTGGGAATGCAAATGGTACAGTCACTTTAGAAGACAGTTTGGTAGTGTCTTACAAAACTAAACATACATATACTCTTACCATATGATATAGCAACCATGCTTCTTGATATTTATTCAAATGAATTGAAAACTATGTCCACACTCACAAAAATGTGTACATGGATGTTTATTCACAATTGCCAAAACTTGAGAGCAACCAAAAAGTTCTTCAGTAGATGAATGGATAAACAAACTGGTACATCAAGACAATGAAATAGTCAAGATATGAGCTATCAAGACATAAAAAGACATGGAGGAAACTTAAATAAATATTACTAAGTAAAAGAAGCCAGTCTGAAAAGGCTACATACTGTATGACATTTTGGAAAAGGCAAAATATGAAGACAGCAGAAATATCAGTGATTGCAAAGGGTTGGGGAAAGAAGATGAAAAGGCAGTGCACACAGGATTTTTTTTTTATTTCTTTTTTATTTTAAAGATGTGGGGTACAATTCAGGGTTAGGTAAACAAAATGTTCATTATGCAGGCAGGCTTGTTGATCAGGGCACACAGGATTTATAAGAAAGTCAACTATCCTGTATGGTATCACAATGGTGAAGACGTGTTAAAAACCCACAGCATGTGCAAAACCAAGAATGAACCCAGCATAAGCTATGGACTTTAAGTGGTAAACATATGTTAATGGAGGCTTACTAAATAACAGATGCACCACTGGTGAGGGATGCTAATAATACGGGATGCTGTGCATGTGTGGGGAAGAGGAGGGTATGTGGGAACTCTTGGTACTTTCTGCTCAAATTTGCTATGAACCTAAAATTGAACTAAAAAAACTAAAGTTTATTTTTAAAAACCAGAACAAAAAAACGAGCAGTATCTATGAGCAAAAATTGGTATATGTTTAAATTTTATATACCAGAACTACCTACAGAAAAAGGGGTTTATACACAATATAAAATAACAGCTAAATTCTTGTTAGTGTTCAAGTCAACAATGTATTATGGACACAATAGGTGGGAGGAACACATGGAGGTTCTTCATTCAAATATCTTTCTTAGAGCTGAACTCAAAGAACCCTCAATTCTTTCTTTCAAAGAGACAGGGATTTTAAAAAAATCAAGAAAAACTTAAGAATGATCACATCGTCTATGAAGGCAGTACAAAATAATTGGTTAACTTTTTTTTTAAAGAATAGTTTAACTTAAACTCAACTCTGATTATTTAACTGCAAATAATTCAGATGAGGAGCAAGAGAGGAAAATAAGCCAAAGTGGACCACAGAAAGAAGTCCTGAGAGCTCAGATTTTAAAGAAGTTTCTACAGAAGATAAAACAAGGACAGGCCCATATCCAAAGACACATATAAATGAATAGCAAGAAGTTATAAGAACGAGCAGAAGCTTGTTAGAAACAAACTGCTAAGCAAAATTAAAAAGGCAATTTTGGATAGGATGAAAAGAAGAACAAGAAAAGCACTATCACTGCTCAAGGCAAAGGACATATTGTTGCTAACAGGTGGTTCAAGGAATTGCAATTTAACTTTGATTTTCCTTTTGTCACTTCTTTGTCAAAAACAAAGGAAAAAATTTCTGACTGAAATAAGAAGAAATCTTGGGGAGAAAAAGAGATCTACGAGAGTAAGAAAACTTGAGTGCCAAGTTCCTTCAAAGGGGCTCAGCTGTTTGGCTGATATACATTCCGAGAACATCTAACACAAATTAAATGGCACTCTGATCTCTAGAGAATCAGGAGAAAAGAAGAAAAGAAAAATGGTAAATTATAGGCAAATTAGCATAATAAAATTCCTTGATACATTTTAGACTTTACAGAGCAAAGACATTATTCAAACATTAACAAAACTATTGGAGGGTTTGAAACGTAACTGATTTTAGGAATGTGGAGCACACAGTATGACATGGTTATTCAGTAGAAAGCACATATAAAAACACAAAAACACTTTACTTTTAAGAAATGTATAAAATGGCAGTATCTTACTTCTACCCCTGTAACAAACTAAAGAGCTTAAAGTCTCAAAATGAAGTGGCGTTAAAACCATAATGACACCATGAAGATACACAAGTTTTCATTTGTCAATTAAAAAAAAAGACAATAAAAAAATCAAAACACACATACACACACAATGAGAAATCACTTTATATCCATTAGTGTGATCATTATCCAAGAAAACAGAAAACAAGTTCCAGTTGTAGCAAACTGCGGGTGAAATGAAAGCATTGCTGGTGGGAATAGAAAGTGGTACATCTATTGTGGAAAATAGTATGGCTGTTCCTCAAAAAATTAAAAACAGAATTACCATATACTCCAACAATTCCACTTGTGGGAATATACCCCAAAGAACAGAAAGCAGAGTCTCAAAGAGATGTCTATACACCCATGTCAACAGCAGCATTATTCATAATAGCCAAGTAGAAGCAACCCAAGTGACTGTCAATAGATGAATGGACTAACAAAATGCAATATATACATTGAATGAATTATTCAGCCTTAAAAAGAAAATAAAGTCTGACATATGCTGACAACACAGATGAACCCTGAGGATATTATGCTAAGTGAAATAAGCTAGTCACACACAAAAAATACTGTATGATTCCACTTATATGAAGTGCTTAGAGTAATAAAATTCATGAAGACAAAGTAGAATGGTGGCTGCCATGGGCTCAGAAGAGTGTGAGAAGGGGAGTTATTGATTAATGGGTACACGGTTTCAGTTTTACAAGGTGAAAATATTTACAGAGATGAACAGTGGTAATGTTCACACAATATTATGAATGTATTTAATGCCACAGAACTGTACACATAAAAATAGTTAAAAGAGTAAATTTTATGTTACATATATATATTTACCACAATAAAAAATTGGATAAAAGATCCTTAAAATAAAGCTTGAGTAATCAAGACCATAAGCTATAGATATGTAGAGATCAATAAACAGAGTCCTGAAATAAAACCTTAGATTTATAGTCAATTGATTTCTTAGAAATATGCTAATTCAGAAAAAAAGACACTCTTTTAAATAAATGATGCTCAAACCAATTGTATCACTAAATGCAAAAAGATTAATTTAGACATTTACCACAGCCCATGCACAAACTTAACTCAAAAGGAATCATAGGTAGACTTAAAGAGCTAAAACTATAGAACTTCTAGAAGAAAATAAAGAGAATATCTTCAATACTCTAGCATAGACAAAAATATCTTAGATGCAGCACCAAAAGCATAATCCAGAAAACAAAAAACTGGTAAATTGGGCTTTATCAAAATATAAAGCTACTGTGCTTAAAAAGACATTAGGAAAACAAAAAGAAATCCACAGACTGAGAGAAAATATTTGCAAATCACGTATCTTATAAAGGACTCATGTCCAGAATACACAAATAACTCTTACAACTTCATAAGACAAACAATCCCATAGGTAAAAGATTTAAAATAAATATTTTACCAAAGAAGACAAATGGCTAATACATTTAAAAACTGCTCAACATCATAATCCATTACAGAAGTGCATATTAAAACAACAATAAAGTGGGCACTTCACACCCATTAGAATGGCTATAATTAAAAGACAGACAATAAAAAGTATTGGGAGAATGTGGAGAAATAAATCCTCATACTTTACTAGTGAGAATATAAACGGTACTGTTATTGAAGAAATTTTACAATTTTTCTTAAATAGTTAAACTTACCATATGGCTCAGCAATTCCACTCCTAGGTATCTAACCAAGAGAAATAAAAACAATGTCCACACACAGACTTGTATGTAAATGTTCATAATAACCAAAAAATGGAAACAATTCAAATGTCCACCTACTGGTGAATGGATAAACAAAATGTAATATAGTCATACAAAGGAGTACTGTTCAATAATAAAATGGAACAAATTATTAATACATGCTACAACATAGATGAATCTTGAAAACATGCCAAGTGAAAGAAGACTACAATAGTATGTGATTCCAATTATATGCTATGAACAGAAAAGATAAATCTATAGCTACAGAAAACAGATTAGAGAGTATGTGGAGCTGAGGATGGGAGCAGGGACAGTTGCAAATAGGCACAGTTACAGAAATGTTCTAAAATTAGATTGCAGTGCAAAACTTTGCACATTTACCCAAATCACTAATTCATACACTAAAAACACATGAATTTTAGAGTATAAAATTATACCTTAACAAAGCTATTTTTTAAAAAGTGGTCAAGAAGTTAAAAACAACAATTACTGCAAAATGAATATGGTTGAGTCCTTCTCTCACCTCTGCTGGATATACTGGGCATAATCTGAGGAATCATATTATTGCTTGTATCCATGGGCTGGGAATTATCTTGACCCAGCTGATCATCAGGTGGCATATAGGCAGGAGGAGGCGTATCAGCTAAAAGGAAGAAAATGAAACAATATAAAGTCCCCCAAAAAACAGTTAAAATCTTCATCCTGTTCAAAATTATAAGCATTAAAAAAAAAAACTCTTAAGATTTACAAGCAGTGTTTATTACCGAACATCATATACACAAAAACATAAGATGCTATCCTAGGGCAAAGAAAAAAAGAAAAGACAACACACCTAATAGCTACTGAAAGCCTACTATAACCCTACATTTATTTAGCCCAGAACCATGGTAATCTAGGATACTAGGATCAGTGCTAATGCTCACTAAAATAAAACTAAAAGTCAAGAACTCTGTCTTTATTTGTATATGCTCAAAGAAATGCCAGCTACTGTAAATCAATCTGAAAGACACAGATTACCCTAGTTTGGGTATATACATATTATATAGATCAAGATCAACACACATTGTATATTGTCATTTAACTGGAAAATAAAACTATATCCCATCAAAATTTGCCATCAACACTAACAGCAACTGTTTAATTATTTTGCAACATCCAAAAACGGCTGTTGTATCCTATTAAATGGTTAGGTAAATTGCTTAGGAAATGAAATGTTAAGCCAGAAAATCTTTTGAATTCTAACACTCATGGTTGAAAACTTTTGCAAAAGCTACAGCTATACTTCTTTGTCTCAGTAACTATAAATATGAATATAATTCGTCTTTCATCCCAAGGTTTGTATAGGATGTATTGTGAGACAGAACTACAATCAGCACTGAGTCTAAGACAGTGTGAAAATTTATTTTTGCGTAAATTCTTAATAGCAAGTTAAATAGTTGGTACTTCATTCCCTTTCAAAAAAGAAAAACTAGCCGGGCTCAGGGGCTCAGCCTGTAATCCCACGCCTTTGGGAGGCTGAGGTGAGTGGATTGCCTAAGCCCACGGGTTCGAAACCCGCCTGGGCAACTTGGCCAGACCTTATTTCTACAATAAATCAAAAATTAGCCTGTAGTTCCAGCTACTTGGAAGGCTGAGGCAGAAGGATCGCCGGAGCCCAGCAGGTCGAGGCTGCAGTGGCCGAGAGCGGCTACTGCACTCCAGTCTGGGGGAAAGAGTGAGACTCCAACTCAAAAAAAAAAAAAAAAACCCAAAAAACAAAAAAGAAAAACCATATCATACCATTGATATTTGGCTGCAAGACAGAAACCACAAAGAATATATAGCAGATCCTCAATGTCATTTTGTTCAGCATCATTTTATTATAACAATGATGAAAGAAAAAAAAAATCGATTCACGGTCAAGGTCACTGCCTATGTTAGTTTGCACATTCTCCCCATCTCTGCATGCCTTCCACATTCCAAAGATGAGCTGGCATGTTGAGATGGTCCCAGTGAGAATATGGGGGTGTGTGTGAGTGTACCCTACAATGGAATGGTGTCCTGTCCAGGGTTAGTTCTGGCCTTGTTCCCTGAGTTTCTGGGACAGGCTCTGGCCACCTGTGACTCTGAACTGGAATTATGAACAACTATCTTATTTATTTTTATTAATCCTTCTTAAATGCATGTATGCCTTTGGTGGGGGGGGGGTCTTTACTTAGAAGTCTGGTGACATTTTTGTAACCAGAAATATGTCATAGGAACATAACTCTTGTTTATATTAATTAGTCCATGGCAAAACTGGTTTTATTATGTTGTTTCACTTAAAGTCATAGTTTCCAAGAACCTATCAATAACGTTACATGAGAACTTACTGTATTTACAGACTGTACGTACTACTCTGACAATAGTAGGTGTTCAAATATTTGACATTGGCATCATGCGGTGTCCATATGTAATACACCATGAACAAAATTTAGGAACTTTACAAAATCTACTTCTTATCTTTCTTCAGTCAAATCAGTTCATCAGTTATCTAATTAAAATAACCAGGGCTCATCATAAGCTTCCAAAGTCTAAAATGATTTGAAAATGCAGTAATGTTGAAAGAGCACAGACTTCAGAGTCAGACAAACCTGGGTCTGAACCCCTAATTATTAGCTCTGCAATCCCAGGCAAGGTACTTAAGCTTAAAATTTCTTTTTCCATTTGTGAAACAGAAATATCACCACACAGAGCTATTCTGAAGATTAAGTTTAATGCAATAGCTTCCATCACAGTATCAGTTATATAAAAGACACTCAATATATTATAAATTATAAATTTAACTTTAAGTAAAATATGGCTACCTCCAGTTTTAAGACATATGGCACTTGCCAAAATGAAATCCAATGTCTTCTGGAAATTGAACAATTATCTAAAGATCAGAGTCAGAAATAGCTTAGCTCTTGGCATATAACAGTTCGCCCAGAAAGCCTGCAGTAAGAACAATTCCTGATTCCCAAGGTTTTTTTTTTCCCACCAACAAAATAAAGTCTTACCTGGGAGCTGAAATGGACTTCCTGGTCCAGAACTTGCTGGGGAGTTGGGATATGTGCTGCTAGCAGGGGAAGGGGGATAAGGGCTATTTGGAGATAAGGGAAAAGGAGTGTTGTTGGGCTGGTGGAAAGAATCTGGAAACGTGGCATTTTGTGGCATGTGTGGTTCATTGTGGCTCAGGTTCCTAAACTGAACCAGAAGGCTGTGTTGTGGATTGAATTCATTATGACGAGGCACTAATACTGGAGGTAAGACTGAAAAACAAAAACCAAGTTATTTGTCAGGAGTGACTAAAGCAAATGTTCCATTCATATTAAGGGGTTGGGAGAAAGGAATTGTGTAAGACTGTAAACCTATTTAAACAATTTACTTTTAGGAAGGGCCATTTTGTAGAACCCCGAGTCTATACTCACATAACAACTAAATGCAAAACCCGATAAGCATTTAGCCTGTATTTACTCTGGAAGACAAAATCTAGACAAAAATAACACTTGTTCTATGGGAGGATAAGGTATATTTAAAAACAACCATAATACAGAGAATGTAATGTGACGGGAATTCAACAGAATTGAGCACTCCCAGCTAACAGGAAATCAAATAAAAACACTGTGGAAAAAACACTTGATTGGACTTTAAAGAACCAGGAGGAGTCAGGCACAGTGACTCAAGCTTGTAATCTCAGCACTTTGGGAGGACAAGAAGGAGGATCACTTCAGACCAGGAATTTAAGACCAGCCTGGGCAACATAGCGAGACCTCGTTTCTACTTCAAAAAAATTTAAAAATCAGGCATGGTGGCATGCACCTGTAGTCCTACCTACAGGGGAAGTTGAAGCAGGAGAATTGCATGAACCCAGGAATTCAAGACTGCAGTGAGTTGATTGGACCATTACAATCTAGCCCGGGTAACAGAGAAAGACCCTGGCTCTTAAAAGAAGAAAAAAAAAAAACTAGGAGAATTTCACATAAGAGTGCTAGGGGTAGGGAGAGAGAGAGAAAGATGAAAGGGTCTGGACAGAGGATGAGAAAGGATAGTCAGCTGGTGTAGGCACTGAACAAGAAAGTAGACTAGAGAGTGAAATTGGGGTCTATTATGTGACTACCCTGAAAATGTCCACATTTCCAATTTTTTTTTTTTTTTTTTTTTG